TGTTAGGAGAGGGAATAGAACTATTGCCTTGCATATCACCTTATTTCCTAGTACACGAGATTACCGACCACTGAGCTACCCCGCTGTCGAACTGTTGAAGTAGAATGGAGCAAATTTCTTCCACAGAATAAATATATGAACTGAGGGACCGAAGAGAAATGCAGAAAAGTACTTACGTATTTCCAACCGAGTGTCGTTTTACAACACTGACAATAGATATCGGCTACAGCATGCAACCCTGTAAGCAGGACTCGCTCTTCTGCAGGACCCGTTCCGATATTTACACTGAAATGCTTATATGAACCATTTATAACGAACAGAAAAAAGATGGCTTAAATATGCTACTCAGTGCATCTCTGATAGTTAAAAGAAGGCAACCTGATAATGGATTTCAGGCGAGAGTACACGCACACGTTTGTCTAGAAGAAACAAGTCACTGTTCAATTCTCATCTCTAGCTTGTGAGACAATTCACATTTCTCATATTTCATAAGTAATTTGTTTTCCGACTATAGATCCAACATTTTCGAGTGATATGCAAACCGCTCGAGCCTAGGCGAGAGTTGTACCCGCGTTTCATTCATACGGGAGGCGTTTGTTACCACTACACCACCGGGCCACCCAGGTTCAACTCCGCCTCATGATGACTGTTTTGTACATCACTTAAAAGCCTTATGTAAACCTTTCGAAATTGTTCAGCTTACACGAGGGTGATATAAAGAATGTACTAACCTTGTGTAAGACGAACTAGTTGAAAAGTGGATTGATTACACACGCCGACGCTAAACGATGGCCGTTTTCGAAGAATATTCTGTTTCTATCAAAGAATTCCCCTCAAAGATCTACTGCTTCGTTGCAAAAAAAGTGCACTATTACTATTAAATGGAAGTATCAACGATGTGCAGTACAGGCTCCATCTTCCGACAATGCAACTGAAGGTAGAGGATTTGAGATTACAGAATCCCACTAACTATGAACCTACTCAGGGATTCATCCTGCCTTAGAAACCCAAATACAAAGCATATTCGTTTCCAGATCCACAATAAAATGCTACCACTACCTGGGAATTAGGAGCACCATAAGACAGGACCTCATAATCTGTACAACAAGCAAAAATACCTGATAACCTACTGTATTCTCTGAGATTTTTCATAAGGATGAACCAACCAAGTACTCAGATGAAAACCTAGTTGATTCTCAGTCGTCATTACTAGGAAAAAGCAAACAAGACCTTCGAGTTAGGTAAAATAAGTTAGTATCGAATGGAATGCTTGCATACATGAGATACAGCGATAAATGATAAAACGTGGTCGAATAAGTGAGAAAATCTTAGAGAAAAAAGACAATATGAATTCTGATTTATACTCACACTGAATTGAACAAATACGCTTTCCCTTGACTGCCTTGGAACGACTGAAAATCGATTTTGAAAGTTTATGAGATTTCTAAAATAACATAGGTGGTTGTCATTCATGGATCATCTCCATGTACAACTATTTACAACTATTCAATAAAAGTGTTGTTACTCACCTTAGAGATAAGATCATTGTGACTGGCCAGATTTGCACGACAATGAACGCAACTGTAGCATCGATTGCCTTCGGGCAAATAATGCTGGAATAGATTTCTTCGATTGACCGATTCATGGAATAAGTCCAAGAAGCGAAATGAAATGTAAGTGGAAGCATATAACCAAATGTTCATTGAGAATTGTGCAGTTCCCAGCATAATCTAAAGGACCAATGACATGGTCCAAAACTGGGAAAACAGTGATAGGACGCAAAATCCGGAAGTTTACATATATAGCAGGAGGGATACAGGAGATCAACAGGCTTGGGGAATAGAATGTTTGGAAGGGCTTTCAGGAGAACATCTACGCAATGAGAGCAGAGAGGACGAGTGTACTCCCATTACTACATGTGGTTTTTACAGGAGCGGGAGCAAGCTATCAATACGAGAAGACATCTCACGTGGTTTGCTATAAACACATGAGAGGATTTGAAATCGAGAAAGGGTAACTGCCCGACTGACGAGATCGCAAGATCGAAACACGTGTATCGGGCTCTATAAGTCAGCCCTCATTGACAGACCACTGACATGCGTGGCTCAATAAATGATTATCAGGCATGATGAATCTTTGAGCTGTGGTCTTAAGAAAACACTCGTATCGAAAGACAGGATTTGAAAACGTTGAGAGCATTTGATCTCAAACAGCCAAACTTCTCGAAATACTTGAATCCATGACGGCCCGTCTTCACTGATAGTGCGAGCTCCAGCATAGAAATTATACTGGTTTGCTGTTATGTTTTTGGAGTCCCAAGATAATCCTAACGGGGCTTTTTTAAGTCGCGCCGGCCCTCGCGGATCAGAGGGAGATTGACACCTTGCCACTAGTAGCTACCAAGACCAAGTCATGCCTGGTACTGATTACGCTTAACTGAGCTTGCCGGGTCTAGGGGAACGTCGGACATCTTCTCAGCTTGGGTGGCCCTGTTGGGCGCAAACCTGCCGCTGTACTTCGTAGTCTGACACTCTGGAACACCTCGCAGCAACGATGAGGCACTAAACCACATGGAAGGGACTTTCAAAAGACCGCGAAATAATGTGGTCATTTCAGTTTCACTTCTCATACACACTGCATTCAAAAACTCAGATGATCTAAATTCTCTAGCACGATAAGAGGATAAAGAGCTCTCGGCGTTGATCAGCTTTGAGGGATGCGCCTTGCATTCGAACTCATCATGAATCGTTAAAGGTGACGATCTAGAATTTACAACGTCCAATATATCAAGTCAGTGCTGCTATCCTCCAAATGCTGGTATCAATTCTCTGACCATTGAGGGATGGAAGGCTTGTGAGCTTTGTGTCCGAGACTGAGCCGCCAACCATCGATTGAGCGGCCACGTGAGTGCCACAGGGCGCCTCTAACCATTACGCTACACGCGCTCCTTCTGGTACGAAATAAGCACAACATTAAATCACAGATTTCTTCCTGGTTGTTGACAGGTTTTTTGCACAGTCCATAGTAGCAGCGGTAGAAAGTCACGAGATCAAAAACGACCGGGAGCCACTCCCGATCGATAAAATTGATAAGAGCTTGGTCCATCACATTGTGGGAGAAGCCACTTCTACGAAATGAACGTAAGAGACGACGATGCTAATTTCATCTGATTAAAGAGAAGTAGACGAGCAACACCAACCTGGAACGTTTTGGTTTTTTGTGTTTGATTGTCCTTATTTGAGACTTCAAGCACCTTCATCCTAGGAAGCAACCAGCGTCGCGATTCTGAAGCCAGAACTATGCGGAATTGAACTGAAACGAATGATATCAAGACCGTCTATGATAGATGATAAAGGACGAATAAACATGATAAAGATCATGAAGAATAGCCGTAATCGTTCACTGAAAACGACAAGAAGCATACGGACGAACGAACGGAAAAAAAAGGAAACAGGAGGAGAAAAAAAGAAAAAAGAAATGAGAAGAAAGCAGGCCCATTGCAAGGACCTTATAAGGCAGGTCTCCAGTAATAGCTGGAGGGTCATAGAATAATGAAACGGTGAGCATTCGATAGAAGCCGATAGCCATGAGACCAAACATTTCTATATGAAAGCTCTGCCTGTTAGCCCGTTCTGGACCGGGGGGACCCATGACCTCTGCAGCTCTGGCAACTCTGGACGGTCCGCTCCACCTCCTCTGCATCGCTACCCCATCGCGCATCGTGTAACAATAGCACGTTGGGGGGTTAAAGATGCGAAAGAGGTGGAGCAGACCGTGCAGAGTCGACAGTTATAGATGCAGACTCCCTGGGTCCACGGTCCTGAAATGGTTTGTTATGAAAGCGCTTCGCTGAGCGGATTTTAGGCCAATTTGACTCTTTGCGGGGCCCGAAGAAGGCAAAACCTTCGGGAAGTCAACCGTTAATATTGCACTATTTTGCGCCAAATTAATGAATTTATTGCCAAAAATCTCGGGACCGATAGCCGAGTGGCTACTACCGCTCTGGGCGAGACAGCACCTTTGGCAATCAATAACGAATGTCCTATGCGACGCCCCAGCCTGGCTATCTTCGCGATTGCAAGGAGACGTGCTCGACCAGTATTCTACGACGTTCGTGAACGAGATCAAATCCCAAGCATGCGAGGAAACGAGTTGAACGCTGGTAGTACTAGGACCCACACAACGGAAAGGAAAAACGGGAAAGGAAAGGAAAGCGATCAATAATTGTTTGCTTATTGCGGAGGCCAATCGATCGATAGTTGACCGTGGGAGCGCCTGTACAGCATAACATTCGATCGATTGAGGTCTACGATCGATATCGATGGATGGAGGGACAATCAAATAGAGGCAGACGACGATCACACAAAGGGTCGTCGGTGACGGCTACAAATTGTCCTTTGAACGTAACAACTGGTGTGGCGGTCGTAATTACGCATTTTCCACTGCTATCGTAGTCGATCGATATGAGGATGAAAGCAGTGATTCTCATCTTGATAAAGCTTTGCGGTTCTTTATGAGCTTTAGATGGAGCCACTATTTACTTTGAGAGCGTGTGGCGCAGTGGCTAGATATGCTTGGTGAAACCAGGTCGATCAAACGAAGAATGGTCGATGGTTCGATCCCGCTCAATGCTCACCAAGCCTTCCATACACGCGGGGGTCGGCGAAATGGCACTAGACTTGTCTGGGGGAATGCCAGCATCATTTGACACCATCGGTAGACTCCTCTGAGTCACGATGAAACTCATTCACTCACCTCAAACGACGTTACGTATAGATTTCAATGCATGACGCACCCCTCAGGGATTAGTAATCGTCGAGAGCTTTATCTTTTTATCCTCTTACTATTTATCCAAGAAATGATTTTCGCGAAATTCCATAGAAATGACAAAACACACGTTGATTTGTACAAGAATCCTTCCTAGCTAGCAGTTCAGTTGCAGGATTATGATGTTATAACTACGACTATTCCAAAAATGTTGAGCTATTTGCAAAACTTTGAACCTCAGTCAGGATTTGAACCCGCGTCTCATCCTTTCCGGAGGCGCGTGCTAACCGCTGCACTACCGGGGGTCTTGCTTTGCTATCACTCAACATTCTTGGATATACACTTACAACAAAGGTTTATACTAGTTTCTATTAAACGATCAAACCCTAAACGGAAATCTTGATATTGCTTTTTTGGAAAACTTAGTGAGATTGACAATGAGGATGGCTGAAGGAAAGTGGGTACTGTAGTTGGTAGGATGTGGCTGTAAATCATCAGGATAGTTAGAATAGAGCAAAAACCGGTGAAAATCAATCTCTGGGGGATGTGTCATGCATTCGATTTCACTCATAACATCACAGAGGTGATTGAATACATAACTCGCCTCTAAAAATAACTTGTAATAACCCAGAGATGTATCAAATCAGCGCTGCTATCTCTCCTATTGGGAAAGTCTATCACTAATTTGCTGACAACGGAGAGATGCAAAGGTTGGAAAGCCTTGGGCGTAGTACCGAGCCAACCACAACCCTTTCGTGACCGTGGATCCACGGCCTCTGCATCTCTTACTGGCAACTATGGACGGTTTCCTCGACCTTCCCTGGTAACTTTAACCACCACCGTGCTGCGTTTGACAATGGCAGGCGGGGGTTAGAGATGTCGGGGAGGTGGGGTAGACCGTCCAGAGTTGCCAGTTAGAGACGCAGAGGCCGCGGGTCCACGTACCCGAAATAGTTAACTGCGGCATTATATGTAAACTTTTTATAATCCAAAAATGATGGTGATGAATACATTCAGATCTCTATAGAAAAAAAGCAGAAATAGAGAGAGTTAAATGAAGATATTCTCGTTGACTGAAAACGTTAAAACAACAGAATATAGTGCTAATAATAACAAGCTGATAACATTACTCAGTAAAATGTCCAGTTCTTAATCTAATAATATAATATATTGTACCAAAAATATAACCTAGTAAAGGTTATCGCAGGGCTAGTGCGCTCGGTAATTACGCTAACCTCCAGAACTCATGCACTGAGCCCTCGAGCCCCTCATCCCTCCGAGGATGAGAATTGGTAGCTTACTTCTCGGGGATAAGCTCGCTCCCTTGCATCCACGTGGACATCCCTAGCATGGCTAACTCTAGGGACAACACGAAGAGTCGACTCAACCGAATGGACTATTAGCACGGGAGAAGAGAAGAGAAAGGAATCATTACACTTGGCACGACACAAAGCCATCTCAAATTGATACGAAAGAGCAGTCACTGACAGCAAGCATCAAATGAAAAAAGAGAGATAGGTGCCTAAAACAAAAACAATGTTTCTTCAAACCCATATGGGAAAATACCTTCAAATATTCTCCATAACAAATGAAGTAAGCGTCGCTACTTAAAGGTGTTTGAAAAAGTCTCGAAAACTCCGTGAGAAAATTTGGAACCGCTGTACGACCGTCTATGTAAAACAGAGGATTGGGTAATACACTCTAATGGTAGAGAGGGAAAGTGCATGAGTCCAGTCATATTATACCAGATCTCTTGGAAATTATGTGTTGAATACCTAGGCGAAATGGGGAGACCACTTTATGCCCGCATGAAGGAACATCTAAATGAAAAGTCGAAAAGTTGGACAAGTACTCTCTATGGTACGCATAGGGTAGAAACGCTCAGCAGTGAGAAGCTTGAGATGGTGGCAATATTCCTGAGGTTACAGACAAAAACGCCGACGAAGAAACCCTTGAGGCCTTCGAAATGACCTTCAAAAGCCCGAGAATGAAGAAAGGGGGAAAGTGTTTGAACAAAACAGATGATATGGCGCCTTATCTTGGATTCATTTCAGTTTGAGTTAGGTTCATTTTTCATAGTGGGCGACAACATACCGGTGACCCCCCCCCCCCCCCCACCACACTCCGCCATATAAGCTTAGCGATGGTGTCCAATATGATAGCCAGATTTTGAATTGATTTTCATTGAATTTCACTCTAAAACGAGACATTAACCGAATAATTAGATATGGTATGATATAGTACACCTAGGCTCTGAGAAAGGCGAAATCGCGTAAACGTTAGCCATCGATTTTGAAGTGACGAATGCAAACCTTATGCAAATTTTACTTGCGGAAACAACCACGACATTAGGAGCACCGAAACCACGAGCAGAATTGTTTAGAGACCTTCGTGTATCGTGGATTCGAAGAAACAAATGTAAGAAATGCTGCGGATCCGCCGAGTGTGATAGATGTGATGATGTCGGGTCATGTATAACGAACGAAAATACAATGCAAGAAATTGACTGAATGAGAATGTCCGTTTGTATAAGCTGGAATTACTGGTGATATTTCGTGTCATATAGCATAGAGAGCATTTTTCGCTCCGAACCTACTTGCTCTTCAATCAGAGAATATCGTAATGAAGTAATGTAAAACCATAGTCTATTCACGTCATAGAAAAACCACAAGTCAGTGACCACGATGAAGTGTATAATTTCATTGTGGGGACTGAAGCACCCATAGAGTTTGGCAAAAAACGAGAAAGGGTAACTGCCCGACTGACGAGACTGCAAAGTCGAAACACGTGTATCGGGCTCTATAAGTCACTCCTTTTTTAGCAGACCACATGACATGCGTGGCTCAAAAATGATTATTTGGCATATTGAAATTTGAGCTGGAGTCTTAGAGAAAACACTCGAAACGAAAGATATGATTTCATTATTTTGAATGAAAAATTAGCGACTAAAACTAGTCCTTACATCTGGCGCGCTATCTAAACAGCATCTATCCAAGCTTATTTTTTTGTGCTGGTAGTTAGACCAGAGGAAAAACGTTTCTTCCGTAATGGATTGTCAGAAAATTGCCTAGTCATCCCATCAAAGTTGTTCTACCAGTTATTAGCCTTGAAGAGCGACTTCTCTTCACTGCTCTTATCTGTTTTAGCGAATTGTGGTATCCTATTTTATGGTTTAGCCAATAGCACGAGATTGATGGGAAAATTTCGTTCGACTAACGTTTCAACGTCTTCGTCTCGCCGAAAGCCGATGAGCTTCCAATCTCCAATTTTTGTGAAATCCTCATATCAAGCTCGTGGCATTAGCTAAATCATACGATAAACCAGTATTTCGTGTTGAATTTCCAATAAAGTCGAGACTCATCGAAATCGACCGTCGTGGAGCCTTGGCATGAGCGTGATCGATACTTTCTGGATTATTAAGCCTAGGATTTGGCTGCGAGAGAACTTTTCGATCAACAAAAGTCTTCTTAGAACCTCGTGTTAAGGAAAATAATAATCAAAGACTTATCGAGATGACTAGGAAATGACTGGAGAGCACGGGGTTTTGTGCAGTCCATCCATCCGTTGTGGCTGCCGGCGCGAGTCCGTCGCTGGAATCGAAGTGAGGGCGGAGCGAGAGATAAGCGTCCGTGCGTGCAAGGAGGCAAAGACGAACACCGACCGACCACCAGGAAAAACACCGATGGCAGGCAGCACAATTGCCCAGTTCTACAAAAGAATGGGTGGTGCAGAACTCGTAGAACTCGGGAACAAGACAGCAGTCCTGCAGAAGCCATATCTGAGTATCTGGCTGGACTTCTGCCGAAGGAAATCCGCGTTAAGATCCACCAAAACAACATCACTTAGTCGCTCCCGACTGCGCAGATATTGATAGAAATTTTTTTCTGAAAATGGTACTGACTTGTAGATGTTCTCCCACTCCCCCATTCAGGTAGAGGGGCTTAAAAGGCAGTATTGAGAATGTCGAGGCTAAGTCAAAACAAACATATCGATTTGCTCTTGCAAATTTTTTCCTTGAAGGAAGAGTAAGTGGAGGAAAATGAGGCAAAGTGGAGACGGAACAGAGAAATTCAAATACATAATGTAGCAATTATAGTTGCTCAGCGATAGAGCAAAGAAAAAATGTGACCATAAATGCTAGAAGGGCAATCATCTATAATCGGTCAAGTACGTCAGCATACATACTCTTCAATACGACGAGATCTTTTCATTGTTCTCATTCAGAACATACCACAAAACTTTTATTAGCGGTCGAAAACATATGAATAAAACTTACCATTGCTAAAGATCGAACAAATACCCTATGATTACGAACCTATTTCATGGCAGGGTTATTCATGAAATCACGATTCGATCTATTTAAACCAAGGCAATCTCTAGGGCATCGTTACGATAATAGTGCATTTTTTATAACTGCTGATAATTATCAGTCAATAATTTGATATTTAAAGGATTCAGAACTTGAAAAACGCATAGAGGACACTTATGCGGGTAGAAGCGAAATGCTAATGAAGCTAGCTCATCATGAGCAAAAGGTTGGTTTCGGTTCCTTCGCTGGTTCGCTGAGCCTCTCATAAATAGGAGGTAGGGAAAATGGTTCTAAATTTATCTGAGGCCAACTCAATCCCTGAGATCAATATGACAACGGCTTAGCCCGGCTTTCACAAAATTCAAGAGAGAATCTATTCGACATTCAACGACACTCATAAAGAAGACAACTGTGCTCAAGCAGTAGCCAAATCTCCACGCAAAAAGTTCCACGACCTCTGTGGATGATGGATGGACGGGTGCGAATCGAATGCAAGAAGTTTTGGGATCCGTATATTGATGTGACGACAGGTCATGTAAAAAAAAAGGAGACTTCACTCAGTAATTAAAAAATGAGACGAAGAGATTATCATATTCAAGCAGCGTAATGGGCACTAATGAGTAATAATGCGACACATTCGCTCCGGCCGGTTCAATTTTCGAAATATGAAGCTCCAAGAAAAAAAATTACCCATAAATCTTCTTAGCTAACACTGGACTCTCGAAACAATCACGGATTATCAAAACAATTTAGACCATGGTTTAGTGCTCTCGACAATATTCCTTGAGCAAAAAGGCGAACGATAAATGAAAAGTCAATCCAATCCACAGGGCAGCTTTCATTAATTCTGTGAAATTGCCAAAGAAATACTGTTTCTTCACAAGTGGATAACTATTTTCTTTTGAAATAGCACTGAAATAGCTTCACAACTGTCAGTAGACCATACAATATGAACACTGTGGATCGAAAATGGACTATATGAGAAAACAGGAAAGAA